GCGGGTGTGTGTATGTCTGTAACTTTTCTTGTTGCATTGTATTGTATTTCAATGTAAAGGGAAAAAGAGGAAGAAAGAAACCTCGCAAACAACAGTCTGGGGGTGAGAAATGCATATAACCTACTTACTTCTGCGACCATCCCTTCCATTTCACAAGGTATTCCATGCGTCCCTGCGGATGCAAAGGGGAAAATGTGTGTGTGCAAGGGGAGAAATGCATGTCGAGGGCACAAGAAATACATGCACAAAATGCATGCACCAAATGAATGCGCGGAATCCCATCGCGAAAGGCACGCGCTCGCTGCATCAGCCCCTGCACGAAACGCTGCACAAAGTGCATGCACCGGCATTCATCCCCCCACCCCGCCCCCCACCCATGCAATCTGTGCATCGCTGCAAGTCTAAGGAAAGCGCTTGGGCTCAGAGCCGCCGCCGCCGCCGCCACGGCCGCGGCCGCTGCTGGGACCTGGGGGAAGGGAAGCTGGGCTGCAGCAGAGGGAGGGAACCCAGGCCGGGAGGGGAGGGCTCGGCCAGCCTCGGTCCAAGGCCCGGGGGGTACCTACTTTCCGTATGCGCCGCTTCAGGAGGGCTTCGGCCGCGAACACCCGCTCCCCCACCGCTGAAAGCTCCATGTTGACTCGCCGCTTCCCCCCTTGGCCGCTTCCAGGAGCAGAAAAGCAGCAGCCAGCGCACGACAGACCATAATACTCTCCCGCTGACGTCAGTTCTCCTCCCCCTCCCGCGCGCCCGCTCCCTCCCCGCCCCCCTCCCGCGCGCCCGCTCCCCCTCCCCTCCCGCCCCGCGCTTCCTCCGGCCCCACGTGTTGCTAACGACGTTGCTAAAGCGGAGCGGCTGGGGCCTGCGCCCCTGCACGCTGATTGGGCGAGCTCCGGGCCACGCCCCTCTCCCTTTCTCCCCCGCGTTGCTACGTGACCCGCGTTCCAATCGCCAGGGGGCGGAGTCCGAGGCTACTCCAGAGACAGAACGCGAGGGGGTGGGGGCCGCCGCCGGAAGTGACATAGCCGGGAGGGCGGACCCGGCCGCTGTCAGTCTGCGGGGCTGGAGAGGGGGCCGTCCACCCTCTGTCCTCGCCGGGGCCCCCTCCCCCGCCACCAAGTTGTCCCTCCGGTGCTCCGCGTCCCCCAAGGCTCTCGCTGGGACCCCCGCGGTGGTGTCAGCCAGGCCCCGCCCCCTCGGCAGACCCCGGCCGCCCCACCCCCACCTCCGGACTCGCGCCCTCCCCTCCCCCCCAGCCGCCGCCCGCGCCGCACAATGCACAATGCACAGGTGCTGGGGCTCTGCGGGCCGCGCCGGCACCCCGAGAGCCGGCCGCGCGCTCCGGACCCGCTCCCCTCCTGGCCCCCTCACCGCCCCCCCCCGCACACCCGACCCTCGGTCTCCATGACAACGGCCTCCCCCGCCGCCGCCAGCCCCATCCCGCTAACAAATCAATGTGCCTGTGTCTCTGTCTCCTGTCGCGCAGCCCTGCCCTCGGCCACTCTCCGGGCCCTGCGAGTCGCGCTGGGCTCGAGCGCGCACTCCCCGCTCGGGGGCCGGACGCCAGCCCTAGTGGGTCCCCGCTGTCTGCGCCCCCCCAGCCTCCCGCGTCCCAGGACCCCGCGGGGGACGTCGCGCGCCTTGTTTCAGCCTCCTGACTCGTCCCCGACGCCCACAGCCACCTGCCCTGCGTCCAGCCCGTGCTGCTCGTCCCCGCCAGGCCCCGGCCCCGCGCGTCGCCGGCCCCGACCCAGCCGCCCCTGGCCCCCGGCCTGGGCGTGTTAGGGGAGGGCGTGCACGACCACCAAGGCAGAGCCCGGCGCTTGGCTGGGGTTGGATCGAGTGGCTGCGGGCGCGTCCGGCTCCCCGAGGACCCGGGCGACCTGCGGGGCCTGCGCCGTGCACTTCCTGTCCCCGGCTCTTCCCGACGTGCGCGACAGACGCTCGGCCGCAGGACCCCAAGCTGGCAGCGGCGGGGGCGTGGCGGGGGCCAGTGCTGCCTGAGCGGCCCTGGCTCAAGAGCGAAGATAGCAGGTCCCGGAAAGGGGGCAGAGTCGGACCCTGGAGGCCTCGCCCGCGCGCACACACGCCGTCGCTCAGCTCGCCGCGACCGTGGCTGCGGCGGCGACGGTGACCGCAGCCCGAGTCCGGGCCCAGCTCTCCCCGACCTTTTCTCTTACCGCCCAAGCTGCAAGTCACAACACCCACTCTTTGGAACCCATGATTTAGTTAAAACATCGGCGATGAACTTGACTGGAAGCGATTTCCCTTGGCGAGGGAAGGAGTGGAAGAAAGGGGGGGGGGGAGAGAGAGAGAACGAGAAAGAGAGAGAGAGAGAAAGCGAGCCAAGGACTCTGCCTCGAAAGGGCAGGGAGCCCAGAGCGGAAAACTGGCCTCCTGTCCAAAGTTAGGTGCGTGGCGGGCGGCGGGCGCGGCGGGCGCGGCGGGGTCAGGGGCGCACGGGACCCGCGCGGCGTCGGGCCCACCCTGCCTCCCACGCCCCGCCCCCGCCCCCTGGAAACGCGGGGGTCCGGCATTTGGCCTTGCTCCAAACTTTACAAGGTGGACGCTGGGTGACCAGCCCTTCTCTCTGGCCATTCTGTCTTAACGAACAGCGGCTTAACGACGGCCAGATCGCCCCGCCGACCCGCGCGGGCCGCCCGCGAGAGGCCGCGTCCTTAATCATAAAAAGTCATTCCCGGTAACAAATAGTTTCGTTGGCCGGTGCCAGCGATACAGCTGTTTCTGTTTAAGCTTAAATACTTTCCAACAGTTTGGGCAGTAAAAATAAAGTCGGCCTCAGCCGCCTATAAGTGTCTGGTTTCCCCGCCCAGAGAAAGCCCACCCTCCGCCCTGGGCCCGGGTCGCTCTGCACGCCCCGCCTGCCCCCTCTTGGAATCTGCCGCCCGCCGTGGGCGACGCTGCGGGTCTGCCCCGCACCAGCCTCCGGAGGAGGATCGAGGGCCACCTTGGAGGCCGGAGAGAGGGAGCCTCCCGGGAGCAGCTGGAGGAGCAGACCCGGTTCGCCTCCCCCCTGCCCCCACCCCTCGCCGGCTGCCTGCACCCGCGATGAGCGCGGTTCCCCTGCAGATACGGTTTCTGGAGCCCTGTCCCGAGAGCTCTGTTTGCGTTGGGTGCCTTCGGTCGATGGTTTCAGTTTCACACTGAAAAAGTTAGCTCTCCACTTCCCTCCCAGTGCTTCTCTTTTTTTTCCTTTCCTTTTTCTTTTCCTTCCTCCCTCCCTTCCCTTCTTTCCTTCCTTCCCCCCTCCCTCCTTCTCTCTCTCTCCTTTCCTCCCTCTCTCTTTCTCCCTTTTCCTAAACGCCTCCTCCGAAGCTTCCAGGGGGGAAATGGAAAAAAGCCTGGCGCCGCTATGCAGGGCCCCCTCCTCTGGAGGGGTATTGAGTATTTCCCCCAAGCTTCCTCCTGCATCTTCCCGCCGTTCTCTGCCTGGTGGTGAAAGCCCTTGTTCTGAACAAAATTATTCCTTGTGAGGCGTCTACGTTTGCAAACATCGGGAATCATTCCTGCAGAGCCCACAGCAAGGAGAGAACTCGGTCCAGAAGGACAAAAGAGGTATAGAATAAGCTGAGATCAGACTGAACCCCATTCTTTCCAGCAGCAACCCCCCCGGGGGGGGTGTCATCCCTGCTTGGTACTGGCCACCAGACGTCCCTCGTTCTCTATCAAGAGCAAGGTTACAGGGAGTGGGAGAACGGTCACTGAGCGACCTCAGCTCCGGGGAAGTTTGGAGACTGAGAGGTAGCATCTGCGCAATGGGCTTGTGGTGGGGCAGGACTCAAGAGCTGGGGACTCTCTGGTGGGCACTGAGGATGCCTGTATGTGCCAGGAGAGGGCGCCAGCCGGGGAGTGGTAGGGGCATCATTCCCGCCAAGTGGGCAGGGTTCTTTCAAAACGGTCAGCCAGTGCCACTCACTGTCTTAGAAACCGAGAGAACATGGAACCCCCTCCCCACTCTCTTATTGAATGTCCCTTCCCGGATCACTCAGCTCTAGACACCTCCCTTCTCTCCTCCACACAACCTCTTTTCTCTTTCAAAGTCTGATAATTGCTTTTCCCGCGTGCACCCCTGGGAGTAAACAAAACAAAGTTTCAAAGAACCCTCTGCTTTTCATCCCACCGCTCCGCTGCCCCAGGCTCTGGCGGTCAGGTTGGAGTGCGCAGCCTCTGCAGTAAATAAGGTAACTGCTTCCTATTACTTTAGCCCCATATGGCTGCAATTTGAGTGTCTTTGGAGACGGTGCTTGTGTTGGGGCGGGGGCGGGGGGCAGGGGGGAGTGAAAGTGGAAATCAAATGCTCTCAGATCGCATTTTTATGAAGGAAATTGCCGGCGATTCTCTCAGCAGCCTTCTCTCCACCCCTAGTTCCTGAGATGAGCTGCCCTGTTTCTTTGTTTACGGAAACACAGGCGCCCGCCCACCTCGGGACACCTGCTTCCCCAACCCCTGGGTCTCTGGCCCAGTTCTGCACTGGTGTTGCTGACCCGGGCACACGGCTCCGATGTCCCTTCCCACCAAAGACCTCCAACCCGCTCCCCACACCTGAGAGCCAGCCGAGCCCTCCGCCCCAGTTTCTGGAAGGTGCCCCCACCCTGTGCCCCATGCCATGGCCTCATTTGAGCCTGGAGGCCACCCGACGGCCGGGGGACCTCTCAGGCCTCCCTGTGCCCACTGCCATCAGACTCAGCGCCCAAGAAGAGAGGCCCAAGGCCAGAGGGGTCTGGGGGAAGGAAGGGGAGGGGCAGGCCGGGCAAGGCGCTTGGCTCCTGGGTCGCCGGCCAGACCAGCAAGCCCGAGCGCGTCCTCTAGCTGGAGGGTGAGGCCGGGCCTCAGCTCGTTCCCTGGGAGCGTTTCAACTCTGAGGCTCCGCGGGCGTCGGACCTGCCTGGTCTTGGCCACGACGCGGGCGGATTTGGAACCTGATCGTTCCTTGGGAGCGACGGTGGGGCCGGCTGCGAAGTGAGCACGGGTGGCTCCGAGGCATGGCCGAGTGGGATGTGGCCTTTTGTGCGGCAGCAGTGACCCATAGCTTACTTTCGGTGGCCCCAGAACCCAAAAGGCGTCCCCAGCCGCTGCCTCCCTCACACCCAAGCCCCAAGCCAGGACCCACACCCACAGGGTATAGTCGTCTGTTTCCTGACTAGGAGCTGACCCAACACCCTGCAGAGAGGACCCGACCTGGACGCGACCCTCTGGCCAGTGACTGGAGGTGAGGCGGCCCGGGGTTTCAGGCCGGGGCTCCAGCCCCCAGCTGTCCGGGAGTGAGAAGCTTCACCTCCTTTCTCCTCTCTGGTAGACCTTCAGCACATCCCGGTAAGAGAACCACTAGAACATGCTGCAAAGGATAAGAGGGGCTGACCATTTCCCACAAGCCTGCACCTACCCCAGGAGCCACGTGAGCTGTGACTCTGGCCCCCCGACAACGCTGTCAACTGTCGCGAAGCCCCCTCATTTCCCCTCCACAGGAGGGATAGCGACCCCTCAGAGGCAAGCAACATGTTCTGAACGCTTGTCTGACAGCTGCACATCCCGCCTGAGTTGGGTAACAACCAGGTGAGATCAAGTCTATTGTTCCCATCTCATGATTGAGGAAGCTTAAGGCACAGTGAGATCAAGTAACCTGCCCAGGGACACACAGCAGGTGTTCTGGCAAGTCCTAAGCCTAAGTCTCCCTAGTACTCCACGTCGGGGGCTTTGGACCCTCTGGGCAGTTCAGCTCCTCTGGGGCTCGAGGCAAGAATCCAAGGTGAGAAAGGGCCCAGGGAGCCTCCTGAAATGGCCATAGATGAAGCCAGGGGTCTCATTACCAGAATCAGCAGCCTGGTCCCGCTAAGCAGGGGTACTGCTCGGGGGCCTTAGCAAAAATGATGAGACTCAAACAACAGAGGTGAGAGAGGGTCAGAGCAGCCCGGCCCACCGGGCCAGAGGCTAGATGTTGGTGGAAGTCTTTGTTTTCCCTTCATCATGGAGCACAGTGCCTAAAACTGGGGGCTCTAGGGCCAGCCTGCCTGGATTCAAATCCACTTACTAGGTGTGTGCCCTGTGCAAGTTACTTAACCACTGGCTTCAGTACAGTAACTATAAAAAAACAAGAGAGTATTAACAAACAGGAGAGTATTAACGTGCTCACCCCACAGGGTGGAGAGGAGGGTTCAGCGAGGGAGGGTTCATTGCCAGGTACAGGTAAGTGTCATAGTTGTTGCTATTATTGGTGCTCTGGGACCAGGTCAAGCTAACAGGACCCAGTGGGTGGGTCTGGTTTGCGTGACTGTCCCCCTGCCTGAACCGTCCCTACTTCCCTTGAGGGGCACCCACGGTGCTGGGAGCTGGGTGCTCACCAACCCTTTCGGGGAAACCGTGTACTCCTCAGTCTAGACTCGCCTCTTGGGGCATCTGCTCCAGGTCGCATCGGCGGGCTGTGTCCCCGCAAAACGCACCGGCGCCCGTCCCAGCGCGGAGGCCGGGCACGCTGCCGGTGCCTGGAGGCAGGAGCACGCGCACAGCGCCAGCGTCGGCACGCATGCGCTCACGCGCGCCGCAGGGTGGGCCCCCCAAATCCTCCCCGGGAAGACCGCCTGGTCCTGCCTGCGAAATCCGGCTTCGGGAGCCAGGAGGCACCCTCGGCCGGCGGGGTGCACGGGGGAGACGGCTCAGAGGCCGGCGGGAAACCCGAGCGGTTGCACCCCCTATGCCGGTCCCGAGGGGTGGAAGCGGTGCAGGGGCGAGTGGGTCCCGGCGCTGTGTTCCCTCGGCTCCTGGAGAAGGGGCTCAGAGCAGACGGTGTAGGGGCGGCGGGGTGTGGGGGCAGAGCAGCCTGAGACTAGTCAGTGGCCTAGGGGTCAAGGTCTTGGAGCCCTATCCAAGACGAGGCCAGTATCAGAAGCCTCTTGGCCTGGGGTGCCCGGGGCGTGCGGACTCTGCTGGCACCGACGGCTGGGCCCACTGACCGCAGCCTGAATCCCGGCCTGTAACCCGGGCTGCCCCCGGTGGAGAGTTTGACCCCGGATTCTACCCGTAAGGAGAGAGCACCGGCCTCGCGCTTACGCTACTCGGTCCCTGTGCGCCCCCTCCCCTCTCGTGACCCTACCTGTCCGGAAGGCAGGGAGCACGTCCCACCCCCCCCACCCCCCCAGGAAAGACGCCAGGCGAGGCTGGCCAAGGGTTGCCGGCACCACTGCCCGCGCTCAGCGAGGTCTCCGGGCTCCCTTGGACCCGAATTCCTCCAGGGCCGGCGCTGGGGTGGCCAGCTTGCTAGTCCGCTGGCGCGCCTCCGCCGCTCCATCCTCCCCACCCCCGCCGGGACTCTCTCCACCCCAGGGAGGATGCAGGGGCGCCTCGGACTCCGTCTAGAGCTCCAGGTTCCTTCCCGCTTCCTACCCCGCCCCCAAGCGGAAGGAATTGAAGTGACTTTTTGCTGGAACCCGGGGGCCTTCAACTCGTCCCAAACTGGAGGTCCCCTGGCCAGTGCCCTTCCTTATTCGGTTGTTCGCGCTGAGAAAAGCCCAAGTCCGGCCTCGCCTTTTTGAGGTGAACCAGGTGGCGCAACCTGCCGGGTCGTCCGAGGACGCACGCGGTGGGGGCCTCCGGAACGACCCGGGGCGGCAGAGGGGTCCGTCGGGCGTTCGCCCTGCGCGGCAGCACCGAGCGGGGACCGAGCCCAGGGGGCGGACGCGTGGGACTCGACGGGGAACACGCGCCGTGCCCGCGAGGGGCGGGGTCCCTCTCTCCGCGGGGCCTCGGCGAGACCCGGCGTCCCCGGGCTTCGCCCCGGGAGGGGACGCTGTCGGGGGACCCGACGCGGCCGGCGGGCGTCGAGGGGGCGCCGGCTCCGCGTACGCCCAGAAGCCGCGTCGCCGGTTCCGGGGCGGCCGGAAAGCGCCTCACTGCCCGGGCGGCACCCGGGTCTCCGCGGCCGCCTTCGGTCGCGGGGTGGCTCGGCCCCCGGGGCGGGGGGCGGGGGGAGCGCAGACGGGCCACTCGGGCAGGGACACCCTGGCCGGGGAGCCCGGACGCCTTTTCTCTCGGCAGATGAAAGCCCCAGACCCGCTTCCCCGCCCTTCGCTAGAAAATCAAATTCAAGGAACGTGGTACCGTATTTACCCGCACAACTTCCTCCCTTGACATTTTGCACTCTTGAAGTTGGGGCACAAGCGATTATGCAAACATCTGGGGCTGCCCTGCTCCGCTACCCGGAACCGTTCTTATTCATCTTGAAAGCCGCACTCCCTCATTTGCATAATAATGGCTTATCTAGAATAACAGCAATCACAGGCAAAATTAATTTTCTTTTCTTCAGCTAGTCCTTGAGATCCAGCAGACTGAGGCTTAAGGCAAGAAAAACTGATTTTGCAGAGAGGGTGGGATTCTTGACCAGGGCCGGGGAGAGATGAAGTTTAAAGGAGTAGAAATTCAAAGCTGAGCTCCTATTATTTTCTTAGTTTCAGCCTTGGAGTTTAGCTACTTTTTGGCCAAACGGGTGAAGGGCCGATCCGCTGTGAGAGCCCCCAAGGACACTGTATCTACCCCCCATCCGTCTGGGGAAGTGGAGTGGCCCCAGGAGCACTGTCAGCCAGACTGTGGATGGGGGTGTTGGAGGCCGACTTTGAAGGTGAGGCAGAGGAGAGGGTAGAGCCAGGCCAATATGCATTAAGGAGGTGCGTGACCGACCCGCACTCTGGGCGTCTCGTCTGGCTCCACCAGGACTCAGTTTCCCACCCTTTGGACGGATCAGAGGAAGCCCTTCCTTGCTCGGAGATTGTCGCCCTGCTGACTGGGGCAGAAGTCTTTGAATTCAAAGCAGAAAAGAGAGGAAAAAAAAGTTGTGTGGGTGGTGGTGAGGGCATTATGTGGAGGAAACATCTTTTATACATTAAAAAATCTTTTTGATCTTTTTTAATATGAAGAGGAGTGGGAGGGAGAAAATCCACAAATAAATATGGTAAATGAATTTGTACCAGAATGGTAATCGCGGGGCCACTTCCCGGGCGATTCTGGGCTCCAGAAGAGCCCTCTGAGGCCACCGCCTCCCTCCCCCAGTAGAGAGTGCAGAGAAAGAACCCAGCCCTGAAGGGCGGGAGACCCCCCCAGCCTCCCACCTCCTGCAGCGGACCAGAACCCGGCACCTCTTCCCCAAAGATTCAAGTTTTATGTTTATTAAGGAGGTGGCGGCGGCTCAGGCTTGCCACCAAGAAGCCGCCATCGCAGTCACCTCTTCTTAAGATAATTATTAAGTTCCTTTTAAAATCAGGGTTGCGGGAGGAAGGTGGATTAGGAATTGCAGCCAGGTAGGGGGTCTGCAGAAGCCGGCGGGCAGGAGGGGGCTGGGGCGGAGAATTAGTCCCCCGTGGAAGGGCCGGCGGTTCAGCGGCAAGAGAGGGGGTGCCAAGGGGCTGTCTCTGGAGGCGGGGGGGGGGGCGGCGGGGTTGGGACAGGGGGTCCTGGCTCCATCCCCTTGCGCGCTCATTCATGCCGCCTCTGGGAGCCGTTTCTATCCCGACGTCTATCCCGACTTCTCTAAGCCACCCCGGGGAGCTCACACCGACCTCAGAGGTATTAACTTCTTGCCTGCTGTGTGTGAGTTACTGCAGCCGCTACCCTGGGGGGGCACCCCTAGAATGCCTGAGCAAAGATTCTGGCCACCCTCCCCCCGGGAGACTTTTCCCAGCTGGGAAACGGAGGCGACCTGGGGTTACAAGGCCTCCCTATCAGAGTCCCGGGATCCAGCCTCAGTTTCTCCTTTTCGGAGACCAGAGTGGGACACGGAATGAATGGAGAAAAGGTGCGGGGCGTGGTCGGTTTTCCGCTTCGGAAACCTCTTTAAGTTTGCCGAAGGTCCCCCGACCACCTGGTTCTCACGCCCGCTCCGGTGTTCTAGCAGCCCCCCACCCCACCCCGGGAGGAGGATTCCAGAAGTCGGCCGCCCATTCCCCCTCCGCCCCCAAGCTCAGCCGAGAGGCTGGACTCCTCGGGGCCCGCGAGCAGCCCCGGCTCCTGAGGGGGGCGCCATCCGTCCTTCAAGGACCGGAGTGTCGGCTTCGTTTGCCCCAGGGCCGAGCCCCCAGGGCCCCAGCCCGCTGGGGACCGAGACCCGCCCGCGCAGAAGGGGGCGCCGCGGGCCTGGGTGGAAGGGCGCCGGCGGGCTGGGGGCTGCGGGCGCCAGGGCTTGGGTCCCCGAGTTGCCGTCTCAGGCCCCACTGAGGCGCGGCCCCAGGGCGGGGCGGCGGGGCGGGAAGCTTTCCCGTCGGAGTTGGGAATTTCTAAGAGCAAGTCGGGGAGTCCGGCCAGGCGAAAAGCCCGCGGGAGCCTGCAGGTGAGATGCACCGGGTGGTGAGCGCAGTGCGTGCGGTGGATCGCGGGTCCAGCCGGGCTTTCAGGACCCCGCACCACTCAGAAGCGCCTGGGGTGCGGAGTGAGGTAGCAGCCACCGTGGGGGGGGGGGTGCGAGTCTGAAAGAGAGAGGGTGTGCCAGGGGCACGTGGGGGGGGAAGGAAGAAGGGCACAGACATGGGGGGGGAGGGAGATAGCTCAGAGCCTCAAACTGAGCTCCTTCCTTCCTCTCGCCGTCCACCATCCATCGGGAACTGAAAGCCTGTGGGCTAACGCGGTGCCCCCTCCAGCGGGGGCTCTCAATGCTGCCCAGCCCCTGTCCTTCCCGAGCTTGCATCTTGCAAGATGAGACTGCCCTCTGCAAAATCAGTATTCCCACTTGCCAAATGGGCAGGTTCTTTCCATTTTGTTTGTTTGACAGGCACCTGTAATGGAGCCACATGGAGAGTATTTTGAGTTCCAGAAAAGCAGGACTCCATACTACACACACACACACACGCACACGCACACGCACACGCACATACACGCTGCTGTTTTTCCAAGAGAGGAAAGGGTCCCTGCCTTAAAGTAACACAGTACTTCCAGCCCCTGTGAGCGCAGGCACTGACCTTCCCTGGAGGAAAAGATCCACACTGAATACTCAGGGAAGCTGGGTCCTGGGTGGCAGCAAGGGGGCGGGGCAGGGCTGAAGGTGGAGCCAGGCAGAAGGGGGAGAGGGGAATTTAGGCAAAGGTAGGGAGAAGCCTGGAGCTGACACCCCTCCAGCCAACGGCCCAGCGGAGCCTGCTGGGGGGTGTTTTCCAGTACCTGTTTCTACATGGGATCAAATGTACATGATCTTTTATGATCATTTGTATCCAAGGGCCTGGCACCCAGGCTGGCAGAGGATATGCCGGAATGCTGGCAGTGGGCAGATGGAGCCACATCCACGGGGCAAGGGCTGCTCCAAGCCAAGTTCTGTACTTGATGCTTCCCGAAATCTTGACTTCCATTCCTCATCAGAGGCTTTAGAGGGAGGCTTTATTAACTACATCTGAAGGCGGAGAAACAAGCCCAGAAGACTTAAGTAACTTGCCAGTGACCAAGTGAAGCCACAGGACAGAGCTCGACCTAGGTCTGTCACCCAAGAGTTGAGGGCCTAAGGGGAGACTTCGGGGGAGCTCTCCCTGGTGCAGAACCAGGCTCTGCAGGGAGGCAAGTATGGTCTGGCTGCTGCTCTGAACTCTGGGGTTTGGCGTCACAGCTGGGATGGGGGGGGGGGTGAGTGTCGCTGGATCTTGCGCTTTCTGGTTTCTGGCAAGACGAGGAACCCAGGAGCCTGGAGCCAAACCCTGACAGTTTCCCTGCCTCTGGTCCCCATCTTCCCTAGCCCCACTCAGGACAGAGCCACTGGCTGCCATCAATGGTGATCACTTCCAAGCGCGGGAACAGCTGGGCAGGCAGCCACCACCGGTCTCCCTTCATGCACCATCTCCAGGGCATTGGTACAGAAGCCTGTGCCCGAGCCACCTCTGAGACGTGTCCACATAATCCAAAGACCGGTTGATTGGGACTGAAGATAAAAAGCTCAGGGTCCAGCCCTGAGCTTGCTCTGTTCCCAGCTAGCCTGAGTCACCTTGGACAAGTCGGTTTCTTTCTCTGGCTTCAGCTTCTCCCTGTAAAACCATGACTTGGAGCCAGGTAGCCTTCGAACGGCCTGTCTGGTCTCCACATTCCATGCATGTGGGGTCGTTCAGGCAGGTTTATTGGGATTCCAGAACCTTTAGGAAATACTTGTTAACCACGGATGGCTGACCCCGAGTCCATTGCCCCAGCCAGCACACTAAACCCTGGAGTCTGCGACTGTCTGGAAAGCACGGCGGCTCCTGCCGAGAGAGCAGTGAATTCCTGTCTCAGCTGTGCTAGGTGCCAGGTTCTGTTTCCCCAGCGATGCCAGGCACGGAGCTACAGGACACCTAGCCTGGGGACCCGGGGAGGCAAGAGAGAGTCCTGGAGGAAGCGCTGGGTGACCGTCTTTCCACCTTTCCCTTCTCCTCCCCCACCCCAGTCAAGGACAACAGAGGGCATTCTCTCCCCTCCAGCTCCCTCGCCGGCGCCACACTGCTGGAGGCATTGCTGCCGCTCGCTCGGACTAATTCCAGGTACATTCTATAGGTGGCATCATGCTACTGGAAATGGACTCTTCAGAAGGCAGAGGTTCTCTCCGTGGTATCTCCAGGCGCGGGGGAAGCCAAGGCCAGTCGCTAGAGCCCCACTGCGGACGGGCTGGACAGGGGCACCTGAGCACCTGTGGATCATGTGCTCGGGCAAGGGCTCGCTCAGACTCCAGAGGCCACGGATCCAGGCGCATATGCTTCTGCAGGACTGTCAGCCTGCTGGGGAGCCAGGGATCTGGGAGTCACTCACACCCACTACAAATGGTGGGAGAGAAAGGCCTGGACCCCAAATCTGCCGCAGCTGTGTGCAGACATGCTGGTGGGCCATTCGGGGTTTCCTACAACATTCGCCCACAGTGTGAGGTTGTGCCACCCAGGCGGGGGGTGAGTCACCGCATCAGCGCAGGACAAGTCCCAGACTGAGGCTCCCTCCCTCCTCTCCAGGCATCCCGACCAGGGGCCACACCCGGGATCAGACCTTCCCCCGCCCCCATCCCAGGAGGTTAAAACCCCTCTCCTGGTGGGTGAGGGGACTGGCCAGAAGTGGGGAGGGAGAACGCAAGCAATCGGCTGGAGACAGGACTCTGGGGTCTCCCCCGGATGGCCGTGGCTGCTGGGCTGTCCAGGGGCTCCACCCTGCGCCAGCCTCTCCGCTCAGAGAGCCCTCCTGGAGCCCCCTCCCGCCCTCAGCGGTCTGATTCCGCCTGACGGCCCGGGTCCCGCGGCTGGTCGCGGCTGGCAGCACTGGCCCTGACGTCAGGGAGCGGGGCCGGTGCAGAGACAGCGAGAGGGGTGACAGCGACGCTTCTCACCTCTCCCTCCCGCCGCCGGGCCGGCTCCAGGCGGCCGCTCGGCCCGCTCCCGTGGGTCCTGGCCGCCAGCGCCCCGGCCTCCCCGCTGCCCCCAGCCCGCGAGCTCCAGACCGGGACCCTGGCCGGGCCTGGGCGCTCAGGGGACCGCAGAAGCGGGGCGCGGGTGGCCAGCCCCCAGGAGACAGCTGGAGGACCCCAAGCCCCCCGACACAGCCCAGGTCTCTTTCCTCCCCAGCCCCCGCCCACCAGGCGTTCGGCTCGGTTTCTTGGGAACCTGGTCCTTTGCTCCACACTCAACACAGACTCGCTCACGTTATTATTATTATTTTTTTTTTTTTAACAAAAGCAATTAGATTTCAATCCCAGTTCATTTGCATTTGCACCTCGGAAACAGTGCGGGGAGGAGGGGGGAGCGGGAGGAAGGGAGGGGAGCCTGGCGGCGGCGGCGGCGGGTGCCTCCTTCCCCGCGGCACAGCTGGCGCGAGCTGCCATGACGCCGACACATCTGGCGCGGCCGCGCGGCCCGCGCCCGCCCGCGCCCGGAGCCCGCGCGCCGCGGCCCGCTCGGCGGCGCGCTCATCGATCGGCGGGGCCGCGGCCGGGCGAGCGGAGAACAAGGTATAGCCTGTATTTAGGTTCCTGCCCTTATATGGCGATGTGCGCGAGCGCCCGCCGAGCGGCCTCACCATATAAGGGCACGCGGCGGGCGCCGGGCTGAGCTGGTGCGCGCTCATTGGCCCGCGCGTCTCTCGGCAACCGGCTCTCACGAGTGGAAACGAGCCAGCCGCCCCCGCCCGCTCCCCGCCCGCTCCCCGCCCCCTCCCTTTCTTTCTCCCCCGGCATCCCCGCCTCTCGCCGCGGCACCCCCCCTCGCCCACCCCCGATTTCGCCTGCACCCTCTCCCCAAGTTTTCTTCGCGCCGTTGCCCCCCTCCCCCTCCGCCTCGCTGTCATCTCTGCCCCCCGTTCGGCCTGTCCTCGCCCCCTCCGCGCAAGCGTCCACATCACACCCCACGCACCCCCTCCCCAAACCCAGCGGACGGCGGCTGAGGAGCCGGAAGGCCCGGATGCGGGAGGGGCGCTGGAGGCGGGGGGGGGGGGGCGCGCGTCGCTGCTGCAGTAGCAGCCGCAGCATCAGGTCCACCGCGTGCACGCACCGGGCTCGGAACAGCCCGGGTCTCCTCCCCCCACCCCGGGCACTCACTCACCTCCCCCGCCCCAAAGGTAACCGGAGCAATTAGCTGCCAAAGAAATGTGCTCGCGGGGCTCGGGATGTGCTAAGCCACAAACAGCCCTAGGTACCACCAGATGACCATTTCCCTGGGTTTCCCTTCGGGCTGGATCTCTGGATGCAATCATAATAATGATAAATCGATGTCTCATTTAAAGGTTACTTTAAAAACCTGCAAATTGTTGAGGGGAAATGGGAAAAGGAAAAAAAAAAAAAATCCCTGCGTGCGGGAGGGAAAATGCTCCCAAGGAGCCATCCTTAGGTTTCCAGGCAGCATGCAGCTGAGCGGCAGTTGCGGGATGCAGGTCAGGTGCCCAGCTCTGGGCCCACCCGTGGGGTGGGAGCCCGCGGAGGCAGAAGACGTCACTGTTCCTCTGGGCATGAGGCTCCCGTTCGCCTCAAATTCAGGCCGCGAAGGCACAGCGGTTCCAGGGGGCGCCCCTCGCCCCCTCCCGCACGCTCAGGGGCGCGCGCGCGCGCACGCACACACAGGTGTCCGGCTGACCCCTCCTGGGCGGTCGCCAGTGCCGCAGCGCCGATCCTCACCCCCTGGGGGCTTCTCCCCTGTCCCCAGGGGACCCAAAGAGGAGAGCTAAGACAATGGGTACCCTAGCGCCCTAGGGACGTCGCCTGTGACCGAGCTCGCCTCTAGGGCAGCCGCCTCGAGGAGGCGCGGAGCGATGCCCCCTACTGGGGAGCCTGCGCCTGGAACGCGGCGCAGGTGGGGGTCGCACGGGAGGCCGGCTCGGGTGGGGGATGGGGCACGGGGCGCGACGACACGACCCGCCCGACCTCCGCTCCGTCTCGGGCATCCTCCTCTGCCCTCACTCTCCTCTCCTTCCAAATCTCAAATTCCCCACGCCGGCCCCTCCTGGGGAAAGGTGTCGGAAACGGGCACTGCCAGGGAATGCGGGTGCGAGACGAGGGGGGCGCTGCCTGCTGGATCGAGTTAGCTTCGGCCGCCGCCTCCTCGCTGCTTCTGCGGAAGGAAGCTCTGCGGCCGCAGCAGCCCCTGGTGCCAGCACGTATCCCTCCCTGACCTTGGCTGAGATCTGCTGCCGCGGGGTTCTGCCAAACAGAAAGCGCAGTTCCCCTTCCGCGCGGGGACTGAGGATGCCCTCGGGGCAGAGAGTTGGCCTAGGTCTGCTCCCCTTGCCCGACCTGTGTGCCGCGGAGACCTGTCTGAGCTCTGGAAAATGCGTGGATGCCGGGGCGCAGCCCATCCCCGCCCCGCGTCTGCTCGCGCCCATTTTAGCCAGGTCGTTTTTATTAAATGCCCATTCCCAGGTTTCTCTGTGCTTACGTCCATGGGCACCTTCGTCCCGCGGGGGGCTGGGGGGTGCAGGTGCCCAGGTGTCCGCCGAGTTCTCCCGGCACAGGGACGTGCCTCCTGAAGTGTGCCTCTTCTTCTCAACTCTTAACCCCCAGCAGCAGGAGCCCCTCTCAAATCCGGGAACACCTTTACCTGACCTGTGGGCTCCCGGTCTCTGCCCTCTTAGGTACCGAATTTGACTTTTCCAGCCAGTGGTAGTGAACTCGCTGGAGCCGAGAACGCGGCTGGCGGGAGGGGTGAGAGAGAAACTTGCAGAAGGGGAAGAATTAAAAACCCAAACTTAGAGACACACCTCGCCCCTGAGGGCCTGGCCGCTTTGGGCCTGGGTCCCCACGGGTTGGGGGAGGGGGGGCTACGGACCCGCTCTGCCTCACCAAGGGGTCCCGATTCCGGAGTCCGACCTCACCCACGGGCCCTCTATTTGCACTTTTCGTTTATTTCTCAGGAACCCTGAGCCTGGGGTTCCGGGGGGGGGGTAATTTCCTCCCCGCTCTGGGGCGCTCCTCGGCCCTGTCCTGAGTTGGCGCTGGGGTCTCCCCTTCGCCCTGGGCGCCCTTCTCCACAGCCCCGGGCTCCCCTTGGCGCCCAAAGAAGCGTGCTTGGGCCCGGGTGCCAGGGAGCGGCAGGGTGGCCCGCGGGCGCCTCCGCTGCGCGAGCTGCTCCCGGCTGGGCGGAGGCGGGGGTCGGGGGGCGGCTCCCCGCGGAGGGGAGGGTGGGCGCGCGGCACCTGCTGAGCTACCGCCGCCGCCGCTGCAGTTCATGGCGCCTGAGGATCCACCCGGATCTTCTCCGCGGAGTTCCGGGCTTGGGTCGTTCTGTAGTCGGCACGCACACAGCTTTTAATTTAATTTTCATTTTTCTGCCGGGGGGCGTCAGGGAGGGCCAGTCCGGCCGCAACGCCCCGGTGGGGGGTGGGGGTGGGGGGTGAGGACAGCGATGTCTACATGGGTGGGGGCCGCACGCGGTCACGGAGGTCAACAGCCCATTAGCATTTCCCCACCCGGGAGCCGAGACCTCGGGAGGGCTCGGGGCTCGCGGGGAGGGGCACGGGCCGAGAGCGCCCTCCCTGCCGGGTCCTCCGGGCCACCCCCCCACCCCGCGCCCCCTCCGCCCGCAGGTAACCGCCCTTCCCCCTCCCCGCACGCCCCCCCAGCCCCCCTCCCCGCTCCGGCCCCTGCTCCCCCGGTGCCCGCCGGGGTCCTGGCGCCCGAGCCGAGAGTCCCCGGGCGAGGGAAAGGGAGCGGGGCTGCGGGTGGGCTGCGGCGCGCGCCCCCCGCCCGTGGCAGCGTGGCGACTGGCGCCGCTTTGGCAGCCATTTTCTGCAGCTGCCGCGGCCGGGGCTCGGCGGAGTGAGGCGCAGGCTGCCGCCGCCACACAGAGGCGGCGGGGCCGGAGGGGCGCGGGGCGGCCGGCGGGGGTGGAGGCCGGCGGCCCGGGCGGGGGCGGGGGCGCGCGGGGGGCGCCGTTGCCGCGCGCCCCTCCCCCCGCTGCAGTGCAGGCAGAGCGGGGCCGCTCCGCGTGGCGAGCGCCCGCGATCCCACCCTTTCCCCGCCATCTTGTACCCGGGCTGGCGCCTTCCCAAAGCCGAGCCGCCGCAGACAAAGCCCGGCCCGGGTCCACCGGGGGCCCCTGCAGCCCACCGGGCGGGGCGGCCTGGGGGCCCCGGGGTACCCACCCCCCACACCCGCTTTCGCCCCACCCCGCTCGGCGGGGGGGGGGGCGGCGGGCTCCCCACCCCAAGGGGGCTCCGCGTGCGACGGCCACTCGCCCGGCCCCCGGCGGCTCGGCCCGGGACCCCCCTTCACGCCGGTCGCAGGGCTGGACCCAAGCCCACGCCGAAGCCCACCCCGGTTGCGGGAAGCGGGGGATTCCCCGCGGGCGCGGCAGTGACGAGGTCTGGGCGCCCTTCTAGCTTCCAGTTCCTTCTCCCTTCTCATGGGGCTGGTTGGGGGGGTCACTAAGTCAGGAGCCCCCACGGTCCCCGCGTAGTGGCAACCTCATGCCCCCATCTTTCCACCGAGGAACCTCAGTGAAGACCGCGGCACGGGCGGCTCTCGAGACCCCCCTAGCTGCCCAGCAGCTGCTGCAGACGGGAAATTTGGCACTCCATTTTCTGGGATGGCAGCGCTGTCTCGCTCCAATCCCCCCAGCTCGCTCAGCCCCGTCCCTCCATGCCCCTGCACTGCATATCCAGACCCAGGGGTCTGGGGGGGTGAGGGAGCAGGAAGCACCCCTTCTCAGCCCAGGGAGCGCTGCAGAACCTGGCGCCTGCCAGCCTGCGCCATCAGTGCCACGCTTCTGCGTGCAGAGAGTTTGAAGACTCCATTTTCCCATCGCGGTGTCCCCAGCGCCAGGGAGTGGGATGGGGGTGCCTCCGGTCCCCGACAGCTATTTGGGTCTCCCTGAGACTGCTCAGCCCTTTGGGAGCACATGGCCACGGGCTCTGGCACCCTCCTTTCCCCTTGCACCGACCCTGGAGGGAGTCCCCATCTCGCCGTCCACCTAGACTCCTGAGCGAGATTGGAAGGGACACCGGCGATGAGGAAACTGAGGCTGGGACAGGGAGTGACTGGCGCAGGGCCATTCAGGTTGGTGGCAGAGCTGGACACTTCTTCACACTCTTTCCCGTCCGCTTATTTCTTCCCAACACCACGATCGAAGGCTCGCTGGGGACGGGCGCTCACTCCTCCACACGCTCTTGGCCAGCTCCGGGCTGCGGCCGGGAGGGGGTGGGGTGCCAGCGGGGTGAGGAGCGGCCAGTGTGCTGGTTCATCCCGGAAAACCGGGTTTCCCCAACTGGATGCCTGCTGTTCCCCTGCCCCCACCCCGCGGGGTCGCTTTCGAGGGTGGAAAACAAAGCGACCCGGGGTGGCCTCTCTGACGCCGCTGGCGGGGTTCAGTCCTCCCCCACCAACGCCTGCCAGCCTGCGTGGATTCCGAGCCCGGCTCCGGAAACCAGTCTGACCACTTCGCCCATTTCCCAAACCTCCCCAGGCGTTGGGCGGCCGCCTCCCAGGGTGGGGTGAGCGCGGCTCTCGGCCGCAGCCTCGGCTGCCCTGGCGATGAATGGTTTGCCCAGAAGGTGGGAGGCAAAGGGACACTCCCGCGCGGGCGCTGCGGGCCTTATGGCCGCTCCCCATTCGGTCTCCCCATCGCAAAACCCGGTGGTTGGAAGGAAGCCCCACTCCCCGGTCACATCGCCTCTCACCCGCAGCGGCCCCGATGACCCCTGGAAGAGCCATCTCGTGACCTCGCCCTGTGCCAGTGGTCCGAGATGCTGGCTGCCCTGGGCGCGCTGACAGTCTGGTTTGGACACTGAGCTGGGACCCAGCATCAAGTGTCGGGCCATTAGAAGGCTGGCTGCTGCGTGGAGGCAGAGTGTTGCACATGGGACCCAGGCCGCAGAGGAGGGTCGGGCCTCGAGAGGACCGCGGGAGGGAGAGCCCGGAGCAGCCTGGTGGCCCGGTGGGCATGTGGCGCCTCCACCCACCTTGCGCCTGTGTTTCAAAGGCTCCTCGAGCAGTTCACCAGGTCTACCCAGGAAAGCGACTGCGCCCCCACGTCCAGCCCGCGGCTCCTGTCGATGAGAAGCCCCTAAAGGGCAGGGTCGAGCTGCTCCGGTCCCACGGGCCACGTGGCGCCCGCTATCGGTGCGCTCTAGCTGACCTTGGCCCCGGGGCGGTGGTGGCGGGTGGCCAGGCAGGCTGCGGTCTCCGCCAGGTGCACACCTGCGCTGCAGGGGCCGAGGGGGCGAGGAGGGAAAGTGGCTGGCCGCCCGCGTCGCTGAGTAGGGGGCTGCAGAAGGGCCCGCAGTCGCACAGGGTGGGGGGGGCGCCGCGACTCCTCGCGCGGGGCTGGTGGAGCCAGCTTTGCAGAGTCAGCAGGGCCAGTGTGAGGCTGGTGCGCCCCTTCTCCGAGCCCCGCCTCCTTCCCATCCCTACCTCGCTTTTGGGGGGGATAAGGCAGGGCGGGCAGCATCCACAGGCGAAGCTGAAGCTGGCTCGGGATCCTCCCAGATCAGCCCTCCCCTCCCTGCGTGGTACAGTTCCCTTCCCCCAAAGCAGTTAACCTGGGGAGGGGGCGGAGGAGAGTTGTCGGCCCTTAGAGAACCTTCCCCTCCTCACTACCCTCCTACTAGCTTCGTTATTACCTCTAGGCCAGGTTGAAAGTTTTTTTTTTTAAAGCAGGTGGGAGTGGGATGGGGTAGTAGGAAGAGTAAGAAAAAAGTACTATTACTCTTGCTGTCCGTGCTAAGCAGAGGCTTGTCTTCCTCATGAAAGGGGGGAGTGGAGTAGTTTTAGAGGAGCCAAGGTGGGGAGGGTGCACAGGCGCAGTTAACAGACGTGGCAGAGTGGGGGCTGGGGGTCAGCCTGGGGAACCCTCCTGCCCCGGCTGTCCCCCAGAGTTCCCAGCGCTCGCTGGGAGCCCTGCCCCATGGGCTGAGCCCGGATGGAAATGGAGGCAGTTGCAGGGAAACTAGGTTTAAAGGTGGTTAAGGAGGAGCAGACAACAATTAGCACCACCCCAGACCTCCCTGGGGTGCCTGGGCCACCTAGGATCTCGGGGAAATTGTCAGTTGAATTCCTGCTTAGGTCAGAGGTGACCTGAATGACATCTAGGGCCTCCACCCCCGAGATTCCAGGGAACGGAGGAAACAGAAGCATGGCCCACAGCTGGGGTTGACCCTCAGCTCTGCTAGTGCTGACTCTGCAGGCCTCACGGTATGTTCCGTGTCTGTGCAATGGGCGTGGCAGGACTCTGGGAAACAGGAATCCTAGAAGCCCAAAGTAGAGCGGTAGTGGGGAGGGGCGCCTTGACTTTCTCTTATAGCGTCCCTGTCCTTACCGTGTCCATGGCCATCATGATTATGGAGAAGCTTCTGTGAACACCCTCTCCGTTCCTCACGCTGTTCAAGACCCTGCACAGAGGGCTCGAAGAAGGTGCCTACAAAGTCCCGGGGGTCACCAGTGCGGACGTGGCAGAAGTAGGAAGCCGTGTCTCAGAATGGACTGTCCTCTCTCGCCTCTCCTTGGGGGAACCACAAGATAAACCATCGACCCCAGACCGTGCTCCTTCTGGGAAGTACCTGAAGGCCATCCACACCAGTCTGCGCATCTGCTGGGGCTCCAGTTACTCGGATGCCCCATAAAACCTTCCTTGGGGCAGCAGGCAAAGGAAAGATGGGCAAAATCCAAATGGGGAGGAGAGAGAACGTAGTATCATTCACCCACCGCCTGAGGTTGCCATTAACCCAAGGGGCTGCTGGTTACAAAGCAGGGCATTCTGGGGCGTGGTTAGCAGGAGGCCTCCGGAGCAGCAGTGGGAGAGCCTGAAGATGGGGAAGGAGAGGGGCGGAGGGGGGAGAAGGAAGGCACCCATAGCAGCCCCTCTCAGCTCCACCTTTCTGCACAGAGGGATGCCATTCAGTTCCTATGCCGTTGTGGGGATCTCGCCCCCGAGAAAATTTTCCCTTCGCTCTCTCAGTATCCATCCATCCACCCGCCCTCCTACTGCTTCAGGAGTTTTAGGGTCGGCAGCTCAGTGCACTGAGACGAAACCAAAGCTTGAGCGTTAACGGAGCAGCCATGGAAATGAGACTACCAGGAGCAGAGATGCAGAATTGCGACCTTCCCACCGGCTGGCAGCTGCGGGACAGCGGAGGCTGCAGAGAACCCCAGGTGTGAAAAGGGGGAGTTAATTGCCGGGTCCAAAGGGCAGATGTGGTAACCGGCAGCCTCTCCTGCTGGAGGCTGTCCTACAGCCATGCTCACCCTGGGGGGGCCTCCAGGGGGCTGAGCCCATCCTGGGAGAAGCCAGGGCATTTGGGTCTCAACCAGAACTCCACCAGGTCCCGTCCCATGTCGAGCTCACTCCTCTTGCCCCGTCTGCTTGGAGACCCAACTGCAAAGTGGGGGGCGCAGGCAGAAGGGGTGTTCCCTCATGGTCACGGTCACGGTCATGGATGCTTCACCAGCTAGTGTGGGGCCCTGGCGGCCTTGTAATTCACCTGTAAAAAGGAGAGGGCGGTGTCCTGGAGTCTTTCCGTGGCTCCTTCCAGCTCCAGCCTTGTGGTGATCTGTGGCCCCAAGAGCTGATTGCTTTGTGGCGTTCGTGTCGGTTCACAGCTGGTGCCTCTGGTGTATGGGTGGCTGCATTGTGCCGCCTCTCCTCTGGGGGGACATCCTGGCCAGACCACTCTTTGTGTCCAGAGAGCACTGACGGCAGCAGCATGACTCCGTGGTTCGGAGCCCAGGCTACCTGGATCCAAGCCTCAACTACCCCCCCCTCCGCCCCCCACTAGCTCTGTGATCCCAGACCAGGTACTTGACCTCTCATAGCATCCATTTCCTCATGGGGGTGATAATAGTTTGTACTCCATCCGGTTATTGGGAGTATTAAAAGAGACAAGTCATCCATCGAAAGGCTTTTCCATAGAGCCTGGCTCAGCGAACATTCTAGAACTGTGAGTTACTGTCGTTATCAAGTCACAGGGGCACCAGGCAGCGGTGTTTATCCAGGGGCTGGGGCCACTTTGGGCATCTCTTCTGAATCCAAGCTGATGATGAAAATTATCAGAGAGAGAGAGAACAAAACACCATAAGCTCTGACTAAAAAGATCGTGTTGGGAGTTGAGGGAAGAGTTGGGACAAAGACCGAGTCCAGTAACTGCAGACCGGGATGCCCCCCTGCGCCCTGGCCCCGGCCTTCCGCTCCTTGAGCAGGTGGGAGATCGCACAGGGTTACCTGCAGGGCAACGCGGAGCCCATGGCCACGGCCTAGAATTCCGGACGGGTTCTCAGTCAGCCTGGTGGAGAACCTGCACCCTAACTGGGGGCGAACTGGGGATCAGAGGCCTCAGGGAGGGCTCTTCTGCACCAAAGCTGCATGGC